CCTGTTACATACATTTTAACAAAACCATTATACCCTGATTTCCCATTTTCAATGAATTTTCAAAAATATAGGAAAGTATCGCAGAAAGTAAAGGAAAAGCAAAAGACCTATTAGATTACAGTTATTCAATACGGCGCTCTGCACTTAACATTTCAAACTTAATAACCATATCCCTGCCAAAGGTAATGAGACTTTCCAGTTATCCATTGCAAACTGAATGAGATTCATATAATACTCCCGCAGGTCTAAAAAGTGAAGTGTAAACAAGTCAGTTAGCTGAAAACAGAGGCAAATGTTACACGATCTGAAACCCGCTTGAGAAACTTGTTTGGCCCTACAAGCACGAAACTGGCAACAAAAAGTTGCATTTTTATTGCTTATATGCATTTTTCTTATATGGATAAGATGATTCAGTGACTTGGTGTAACAATTTTGCATACTAGCGAGGAATTTTATATTTCTGGGAGCCAGATACTTAGTATAAGTTTGAGGATTCTTGTTAAAAATTAGCAATAGATAAATATATTTATAATATGGGGACTTTAACTACATATATGTTATATGTCATAGGAACAATCTCCCATTAAATTATTTTGATATGCAACTTTATTGATTCATACGCGTAACTGCATCTTACAGGGCATCTTTTAGCCGCTGACTCAGAGCCACTCTCACTAGTTGTTTCTCGGGTTGAATGAATGCCGCAAATTGTTATATAATCGATGCTTGAGTCAGTGGGTCACTGACTTTGCTGCATTTGTATTTGTTGCTTGTCTTCGCTGGGTCTGCAAACCGGTTGTCCGCTCCCTTGCCGCGTAGTTGGCTGTTGTTAATTATTATTGAACCACAAAACTTGACCATAAGAGTTAACCTTCAGTTGTGGCGGACTTTTGATTGATTTTACAGCAACATCAACAACAACAGCAAAAACGATGGAGCAGCATGTGGGCTCATCGAATACCTCTACCATTTCCATACCTGGTGCCTATAAAGCCCAAGCGGAAGGCCCAACTCCATTGAAAGACCTCAATAATGGCCACAAAGCGAGTGAGGCCCAGGAGTCACCCGCTGCACCGGATGCGGAGCAAGCCAAGCATCGCGATGGCTGGAATAATGATATTGAGTTTCTCATGTCCTGCATTGCGTTGAGCGTGGGTCTGGGCAACGTTTGGCGTTTCCCCTTCATTGCCCTGGAAAATGGGGGTGGCGCATTCCTCATACCCTACCTCATCGTGCTCATCCTCGTTGGAAAGCCCGTCTACTATTTGGAAATGCTGCTGGGACAGTTTTCGAGTCGCGGCAGCGTCAAGGTCTACGATTTTGTGCCCATACTAAGAGGTGAGTGTGCCTGTGTGAGTATGCGCTTGAGTGTAAATGTGTGTTTATCTGTAATAACAACTTCCACTCAGGTATCGGCTACGGCCAGGTGCTGGCCACAGGCATTGTGACGACCTATTATGCCACCCTAATGGCGCTCACGCTTCGCTACTTTGTGGAGTCATTTTGTCCCACATTGCCGTGGAGCTACTGCCGCGACGAATGGGCTCCTAGCTGCCTGGACTCGGCACCACAGCAGGGCAGCCTTCTGGGCGTGGGCGGCAATCAGTCAGCGGTGCGCACCACCTCAGCGGAGTTTTATTTTACGTAAGTAAATCGGTTTGCGAAATGTGCGATATCAATGCATCTTCTCTATCTGCTCCTCCAGCAACATCATTCTGCGCGAGAAGACAACCATTGACGACGGCATCGGCTATCCCAGCTGGAGTTTGTCGCTGACTCTGGCTGTCGCTTGGCTCATTATAGCCGGCATTATGTTCCGCGGCATCAAGAGCTCGGGCAAGGCGTCATACTTCCTGGCACTGTTCCCCTATGTCGTTATGCTCATATTGCTGGCGCGTGCGCTGACTCTGCCGGGTGCCACTGATGGCGTCCTCTACTTCTTGAAGCCACAGTGGCACAAGCTACTGGAGCCCCAGGTGTGGTATGCAGCTGTCACCCAGGTGTTCTTCTCGCTGGCAGTTTGCTTTGGCAATATTATCATGTACTCTTCTTACAATCGATTTGGCCACAATATATATAGGTGAGCTGATTGGCTGATTTTAATACAAGAATCGTTTCCCATAACTGAAAATCAATTTCGCAGAGATGCCAACATTGTGACCACATTGGACACGTTCACGTCGCTGCTGTCCGGCATCATCATCTTTGGCATCCTGGGCAATCTGGCCTATGAGAACAACACAACTGATATATCGAGTGTGGTGAACGGCGGGCCGGGCTTGGCCTTCATATCCTATCCGGATGCCATAGCCAAGTTCAAGGTGCTGCCGCAGGTGTTCTCAGTGCTTTTCTTCCTCATGCTCTTCGTGCTCGGCATTGGCAGCAATGTGGGCATGGTCTCTTGCCTGACGACCGTGCTGAAGGAACAGTTCACACAGCTCAAGCAGTGGCATATTGTGGTCTTCATATCGATTACAGGGTATCTGCTGGGTCTGCTTTACATCACGCCCGGTGGCCAGTTTGTGCTAAATCTGCTGGACTTCTTTGGTGCAACTTTTGTGGCCCTGGTCCTGGCCATCTTTGAGTTGGTTGCCATTGGCTGGGTGTACGGCGTAAAGCGCGTCTGTCGCGATGCCGAGTTCATGTTGGGCATCAAGACGTCCATCTATTATCGCATCTGTTGGGCGGTGATAACGCCGCTGCTAATGCTCTCCATACTGGTCTACATGCTGGTTCTGTATGAGCCACTGAAGTACAAGGACTACACCTATCAGTCGGGCGTTTATGGTAAGCTCCGCTGTAATCCCAATTAGATCCGCAGCTAATTTAATCTTGTACCCACAGTCTTTGGCTGGGGTCTCAGCGCCTTCGGCGTGGGTCAGCTGCTCATTTGGGCGGTGCCTGCAGTGCGGCGGCAGCCCGTGGAGCTGGGTCTTTGGGTGCGCATACGCAAAGCCTTTGAGCCACTGCCCAACTGGGGGCCAGCCGACCCCAAGACCCTCAAGCGCTATCAGCTGCATGTGGAGCAGGCGAATGTTAGCTCAATGTTCCAGCGCAGCGGTATCTGGCACAAAATCTATGACAATATCTTTGGTTAGCAATAAAAATCTGCTGCAGGGGAGTTGCTCGTTTTATGTGTGGCAATCCGCACCACTATGCGCTCTATATATAGCTCCACATATGCACATACATATATGACGCAACCCTTTCATAATAAAAATCCTGGCTTAAGTGCCAAACGTCGTCGCAGCGCCAGTTGGCCTCCAGCGAATCCTCTAAAGCAGTGGCATTCCGCTAGAGATGGGCTAACTCAAATGAAAGAGCCCGCAGAGCAGTACGATAACACGCGTAAAACTTAAAAAATTTATTTACTTATTTTTTAATTTAAAAATTGATAAAAAAATTTAGCAGGCGGATTTAAAAGAATGAAGCAACAACTTATTTTTTTAATTCCATTTAAATCATCAGTTCATCAATATAATGTATTACTAACAAAGGTGATACGGAAAGCAAGATTAATTTATTACATTTTTCCCTATAATCATTATACATTTACATGCTCCAAAATTTCATTCTATAAGCTTTGTGTATAACCATCATTACTTCCACATACTTCAACATAAACTCTCGTGACTTTCGTGTTTGCTCACGAGCTCCGCCTCAGCGCGTGTGGCAAATGCAGAGCCGAAGCGAAAACAGGCGCAACTATAAAAGACAAGACAATTGCAGCCAGCGGCGCTTTACACACACTCGCACACACACTCACACACACACACATGCACTGATTATGCCGTAAAGGGTAAAAAGTTCTGATTTTATGATTGAGGCAAAAAGTTGCAAGTAGAAAATTGTCCCGAGCGCACAAAACGCATGTGTATTAGCACACGCGTGTGGGTGCTGTAAAACACTTCCACTTCCGTTTCCGCGTAACAGCAGGCGCAAAGTATTCAAGTAATTTGTAAGTAAAAAGCCACCCGTCTACCCGTCTTTCCTTCCCCCTCTCCCTCTCAGTTTGTCAAACGCCTGCTGTGCAGATAAGCAGGCGTATTGTTGTTTTGTTTGTTTTTGTTGTTGCTGGCAGCGAAATGACAAACGAGACGCCTATAAGCATGCAATATAAAGATACCATGTGCCTTAAAAAAACAACAAAATAAAATCATATACACATACATATATAACAAATAGTAGCGTAATAAATCACGCGACTCGCAAGTAAGACACACACAACTAAGCATCTGCATTCATTAGCCCAAACATATCGGCAGGTTGACAGGGCTCAAAATTAAACAGAAGGGAATCTGGCACTGACGACGCGTCGCGACGTGAAGCTTGTCACTTGCTTTAATGCAGAGTATATTTGCTGGCTTCCAAATCCTCTAAATATAAATGGGTTTAGCCTTGCTCAACTAGGAGATACCCTGAACCTTGATTTTAAAACTTTCGCGTAATCATAACGATAACATGATATACGTTTTAAGCCACAAGTCTCTAGTACTTGAAATACGTTTTTTACAAATTGGTGGCGAAGGGGGTCTGATATCCAAAATCTGTTAATTACCAGATGTTTGTATTCATCATATGTATCTACACAGTAAATCTGAAGCTGAAAACACAAAATCCATTTTTCGATTATTCTCGATAAAAAAGTTATCGGACGAATAATCAAAAAAATATGTTAAGCCTGTACAGCGTATGGTATACACGAGTATGCATGCCAAATTTCAGCTCTCTAGCTCTTATAACTTTTGAGATCGACGCACTCATACGGACGGACGGGCGGTCAGACGGACAGGGCTATATCGACTCAGCTCGTCGTGGTGATCAAGAATATATATACTCTATGGGGTCTGCGATGATTCTTTCTGTCCATTTTTAATGTGTTAAGGGATATAAGAATAATAAAAACAAGTAAGTAGTCGAGACTACTTAACTACGAGATCCCCTGAACCCATCGAGGAATAAATACCTAAGAAACACAGACAATCACACACAGAAAATAGTGATGCATTGGCAGCAGTGTGGGCTTACTATGGAAACTTAGTTGGTTAATAACTTTTCTTGTTGATGGAATATGGCCATGAAACTTTCATATCGTGATTATAAAGTGTGTGTATGTGTCAAAGCACAAGTCTCTAGTATTTGAAATCCGCCTTTTAAAAAGGTGAGGGTGAGAGGGTGGATATAGGGGTGAGGGGTAAATTACGGATCTAGGCAAAAAATTTCAAGTCTTTAGCTCTTATATCTTCTGAGATCGGCGCGTTCAATATACTTTTAATTTCAACAATTTTCACATTTTCTGTCACATTTTTTGCTTTCATTTGCCACCGGCCCGCAGCTGGAGTTGCATTTGCAATCCCTTGCTAGTTTAAATTTTCGGCTGTCAAATTAATGTGGCTGTCAACGGCTGACAGCCAGATTCACTGTATTTGTCAGCAGCTCGAAACCGACGTTGTGTAATTGCATTGATAAAATGTATAAAAGAGTGAATAAAACACTGCTCACAGACGCTACTCAGGGATTTCGGCGTGTGCGCAACGTTTGATTTAACCAGATAGCATATGTATATACAAATAAATATATATACATATGTGTAAGTTACCGGAATTGAATGCATTTCGAGTTATTTGTCAAGCCATTGTGTCTTGTTAATGAGTTTTTAATGGGCAAATGCTGAAAACCCAACCTGTGCATTTCATTCGAGTGGATACTTCACAGTGCCACGCCCACGACACTGATCCTGCTCCCGCCACTGCTATGTCATACGGTCATTACTCAAACCTTTGCTAGGCTTACTTAATTTCATTGTTATTCACTGTAAATCAAACATAATGCGATATTATGGCCGCGTCCACACTGCGTATGCTTAATTAAAATATATATTAAATAACTGATTGCTGAAACAGAAACCAATCATTGAATCAAAGTGAATGCAATTTGCGCCCATTCGACAGTATCAATTCGCAGCTCTTGCGCTCCTGCGGCTGCAACGATTTTACCTTTAAATCGAACGTGAACGATGAGTTTTCGATATGTTTCATTATAATTAAAGGCAACCCATAAAGCGTTCAGAATATTTTTAAATATAATTAATTTTCGGATGACATGAATTAATATGTGACGATGAATTCCATACGAGAATTTTATATATTTTATAATCAGTAAGAAATTTTGATATATTAACAAATGCTTTAAAGGTTATTAAAACTTTACATCATTTTTTAGATATATGAAAATATAATCTACGTCTTATTTACTTATTTATTTAATCGCTACAGAGAATTAATTCTAAATAACAATAATAGTCCAGAGCAGCAAAGGCCTTCAGGCATATCTTAGTCTTATTATTTTATTTATTATTTTTCAGATAGTAAATTTTCTGATATTAGCTTAGAGTAGTGACCTAACACTTATGTAGGTAAAACATATATGTATATCTTCAATTTCTATTCAGATGCATTTCCATTACTATTTGTTATATATTTATAGGATCTGAAAACATTGAACTGTCAACTAAATAGCACTGTTTTTTTACAATTATACAACATTTGTGTATGACAGATATAATCAGCATCTACCTTAATCCACATTACACCTATACCCCATTAGGTCGCCTAATTACTGAGTAATTTTCTCCCTACAAATATTTTACCCTGAAACCATCCCTGCATACCTCTTCCATAGTTTCCTTCCTCCGTCTACCTCTCCGTCCCTTTCCTTACTTCTCATTTCACTAATTTCTCACTTCAATTCAGCCCAAAGTAGTGTTTTCAATCAACCGTTTATGAAAACAAAATCAGCTCGAGTGAGAGATAAAAAGGTGCTCTATTGCTCTCCGCACTTTCCCTGGTTGTGAACCAAAAGCTCGACGCTTATCTAATCCAATATTATGCGCATGGCTGAAACTTGCCATCAAATTGAGTTTAAGGCAAATAAAGATGACATTATGATTTACGTGATGTCTGCGCAATATTGAATAGCAGATTTATGGCCAAGCAATAATAACTTAAAATCATAGCGACCTGTTTATGGTCTAGAAAATCAGAGCCACAAAACATTCAGCAGATAAATCAGCCCTAGACGCGGATAGAGGCAGAGGCAAAGGTAGAGGCAAGAGCAGCAACAGCAACAGCAACAGTGGCAGCTGCGAAAAGCGGTAAATGACAGGACAGGTACGCACCGTTACCTTTCACGCACATTTCCCCAAAGTAATCAACGCCATCGCCGCAAACAAAAGGCCAAAAACGCAGTCGTCGGATGTGGGCCATATGGCTGCCAGAGCAAGCTAGTCCCTAAATTCAGTTGGCCAACTTTAATGGGCGACAGTCAAGTGTTTATGTGTGTGCGTGTGTGTCCTAGTGGGCTGCTGTGTGTGTGCGTGTGTGTCCTAGTGGGCTGCTGTGTGTGTGCTTGGGGTCGACAGACCTGCTACTTAGGCACACATTAACTTTTGGCCTTTTGTGTTGAGGCAAACGCTTTGTCTGCCCTGCTGCTCAATTGTTATCTTAGGGCTAGACACAGCTGCCATTACTTTACATTGTTTGTCTTCCCATTCTTTGTCTTTCATTTTTTAAATTATTTAAATAAATCAGCGCACATTTTTTGTGCCAGCCTCTGCTGTCCATACAGATTGCAGGTGATTTAATTTGAATAGCATTTAGCTGAAATTTCCATTCTGCTTCTAAAACGAGAGTCGCGGGATGCATTCGCGCGTTGGCTAAATCCGACAAACAACCGAAAAGGTATTGTAAAAATTTACTGACAAACTTTATAGGCCACAACTGTGTACCTACTCAGCCTGGCTATAAAAGCATAAAGGCACCAACCGGCCAGCCAGCCAGCCAGCCAACCAAGCAGCATATCTGCCTATTAGATTACTCCAAATACATGTCGAAACAAATCCCATAAACGTGTTCCTAAAACAATTTGCAATTTAATGTTATTAACAATGTTTGAAAATTTACATTTCATTTGATCCCGGAGAAAATGGGAAATGGAGAAAATAAAAAACGAATTATCCCATGATAAGCGACATTTAATAAATTTATTATATAAGAAAGGAAGGGAAAACAAAATAATACATCCTAATAACAATTGAAATATATATCTGTAAATGAGAAACGACTGCTGATTCGTTCAAATTTAAGTGGCATGGCAAAATCCTATCATTAATGTATAAATAATATAAATAAAATAATAAAAAAAAAATAAAATATTACAAATAATATATTTTTTTTTAATTTTG